TAAAATAAACATTTAATTGTATTTACCTACGTAGAACATTGTTTACACCACTATAAGCTCCTTAATTATTCAGTAGCGTAATTACACCAACAAAGAACAGTGCCGATAATTCCATATTCGGTATTGTTTCCATAGACAAACAAGCGCCACGAGTATCGATGTTCCTGAGACATTCAAAAATAGATCTCTTATTTGAGAACGCACAACGAAAACGTTTTATCCTGAACACGTTTTTCGTCTAGATATTTTTTGGAACTACACAACTATAATTAGATTTCAATAATGGTGATTCACTGGTAGACTTTTTAAACGCAGACTGGCTACACAACTTTTCAGAATAATTAACTGGATTGTTAAGAATTTCCAGTTAAGATCAAAGTGGGCGGTAGACCGACAAACAGACAGTGGTTAACCTGTATCCGTTATATAACGTACGGAACTCTTAGATCGTTTATAATGCTAATAGGCGGATGCGGCCTGATTTTCAATCGGCATCGCTCAGTCATACCCTAGTTATCTTGTGTTCATAGGAATAAAGACTAGAATCGATTAAGAAATGGTTACCATTTGAACGTTCTATTCTTGTTTCTTCTGCATAACTCAGTATTATCCGGATGTTCATCATTTTATGTTTGGGGCTGATGAGCTATGCTTTTGGGAATTGGGTTATTCTGTAATTTTGTATTGTTTTGGCAGTTGTATTTTCATCACGTAATATTGATAAATCCATCGTCGATATTCTAACGATTGCACTGCAGTATACAGTGCATCTAAAATTTTAATTTAGTAACGTCTCCGAATTTTGTTCGGGTATCCCAATCCAATAGATAACATTTAGGTATTCGTGTTGTGGTATTATCATCACATTTACCACGAATGTGGTGGTTAAACCTGTGGTCAAAAAGCCTCATTTACCTTTGTAGATCCATTTTTCCCATAAAAGACTAAAACATGGCAGTGATATGCTATCAATTTGAAGGGAATCGAATATTGTCAGAAGGCGGATCATCCACTTTAATTCGAAAGCTACATTTGGCGCCCAAATACATCCATAATCCTTTGTCAATATTACTTACTTCGCGCAACTCTGAAACCTCCTGCACCGAGTATTGCGCTTCAGTTTCACAACAAACTACGCAGTTGCATGCGGCCCGCGGTGCGCATGTGTGCATGACGATACTTCAGCGCGTGTTGAGCGCATGTGCTGCTTGTTAGCGAGGCCTTCGCACTTGACGATTATAGACTTGTCATACTTTTTGGACATTGTTTACGTCTAAAAATAACTTACATTTTATTCCGTTGCGTTATTTCACTTTCTTTTTTATTCCTTTACATTTTGGCATTTGGTAATTTCGTCGTGTGTTTTCTGCAGTGGGTGCAGTAACTTATGTTTATAAGTTCAATCAACTGAGGCGTGTCAATGACTGGGAACTGCGTTGACAACATAATATGTTATAGCTTTATAATCAGAACTTTATAACATTTGGAGTTCAAACCCTTATTCGCGTTTCCAAATCATAAACTTTCATTTGTAATTGAACTTTGTTTTAATATTATTAAAAGTAAAATCTAGTATCGCGCGCATTAACATCTTGTGCTTACTAATTATCAAAACTTATTAATCAGCACTAATTTTGAACTCTCGAGACGTTCAACAAACTTCGCTACACAAAAGTCGGCATGATACAAATAAGTGAGGCAAGTGAGCCGCTATTTTATTATGAAATGTCACGTTGTGCCAGACGGTACATAAATAAGACTGAATTAACTTGTCTGCGACCTCGGGAAAGTTCACATTCACACCTTGGATTATGGGCAAAATACAATTCTTCAAACAAAGTTTATTTGCTGCAAGAATTGTGTGATTTGTTCAAATTAGTTTTCACAAAAAAATGCATCAATGTTTCTGGTGTTTTAAAAAATTACTATCGATCGAAGCACGAATACATAAATAAATGTAACACTGGATATTTTGCTATCAACCCCAGAAAAAATATTATTTTCTTACGTAGAACCTTACGTAATTGAAGACTGAAGTCGAAGTACTCTCCTTTATCAATGTATTATAATTATGTCATATGTATTATAATTATGTCATATGATGACACAATAGAGCCCAATTACGAGCGTCTGATTCTAAATTTAACAAATTCAGTAATTGAGACAGCCCCGTAAAATGTTTCACCTTTTCCAGACGAACATGACGAAATTTACTGTCTGCGACCTTTGAATTTCAAGTAGTAAACGTTCATTGATTGGTTAACCCGTTGTTTGATAAGATGGTTCAAAATGTGGTGGCAAACAACTACATGGCTACACACAAAAGTCTTAGAGGCAGTTGTTGTACCCACTCTGGTTAAATTACCCACGTAGAACTATTTCGTCAGTAATTCAACATGTTACGGGTACCTAACTCTGGTATGTACGGTTTGCGGCTTATCAATACACACTTCTGAATTTTAAGTAATTGTAATAGACCTTATTTTGCTACAGAAATGTATAATTGTACACACACCGAATGTTATGTTTCACATTACTTATTTACTCACAGAAAATTACGGGATGTATGTCAACCGTGAAATCGTTCTAGTAATTACAATTTAATGGAATTCTTTTACTGACAATACGAAACTACATCGACGATCAGAGCAGAAGCTGTTCTTCTTGTCTATTCTTGTTTTTATTTTTTTACTTTCATTTGTCTTTGTAAATATTTTAACAAGAATGAACGAATGTCAATTAATTTATCAACATTTGCGCTTAAAAATTAACGACTATCCGATCAAGTTGTAAAAAATGCGTACCCATAATGTTGTCGAGGATATTTTAAAGCATCCTCATGGAAAACGTTTTATTTCCTCGGGGCACTTAAAATTACACTCACTGAAATACATTTTTATTGCGTGACGAAGTTAACGTCAGAATTTACCATGTGTGTTGAAGCAAAATGAGTGCCCAATTTACGTGTTTGAGCGACGGTTTAATGATATTCAGTACAGCTTCTTTAACATTTCATCAGATGAGTTTTACTTTAAAATTGAGAGTTACATTAAATCAATTTTACGCAGAATCGGTGGTATTTGTGTCACGATAATTCAGGTTTTTGATTAAATTGTTAATTATTAACCGTTATGATTCTATTAACCAGCTTTATTGGGACTAATGTGTTGTGTAATTTATTTTTCACAAGCGATTCGGTTTCTTATTTTACGTTTTAAATTGTTTAAGGTCTGTCCTTCTTGTCCTATATCCATCCCAAGTAACGTTGCTATGCGAAAACTTGTCGACCTACCGGTACTTACCAAGTCGTTCCTATATTCCTTTCAAACAAGCTGAGACTACAGGCAGCGTTGGGAAAGTTTGTTTTAGATAAAGTAATAGCAACACGAAATGGCGAAATCGCTGCTTGTAGTGAAACTTTAAAAATGAATAGGAAAACAAACATAACATACTCCTACATTTTAAAAGGAAATCTGCTATAATTATCGCTGTCTGAAATCATCACGGAATTGGCGTGACGTAGATATTAGTCATAAAAATCGTCCAATGACTCATGCGTTTAATATGCAACATAAATGGAACCAATAACCAATGTGTGGGTGAACAGGTGAAAAAGTTTGTTCACATGGCAATTTGGGCTATTATGACATCAAGTGGGTTGAAATGCCCGCTCGACGGACAATCTCCTAACGACCGCAATGATTAGTTGCCAGTTTGTTAACACGGACTAACTTTGGGTGAACTCAATCATTTATCTCTTAAACACAAGACAATCGCATTGTTATGTAAACGTTGATTGATACAAAGTGTAGTATTTAAATCATTCATTATTATTACATTAAATTACCTACCTAACTCCGCATTGTTTATAATTTGGCGCCAGATAAAGTTGACATTAAAAAACTGGTTCACAATCTTATCTGTGAACTGTACTCAATGTAATTCACATTTATATTTATTAAGCATGTTATCGTCACGTGAATCCTAATACTTAGTTATTTTATTTCAGAGAAAGAGTGAATAATGTTACTATGATACGCGGAAGTTATAGTGTGGGACGATACCTGGAAATTCATTAAAAGATTTCTAGATGAAATCGAGCAACAATTTTGCCAGGTTCAGTAGTTAAGAGCTTTTATTTCACAGCATTATTCTTAACATTCGCTTTAGGTTAAAAAAAGTACCTACGTAGAAAGGCTCATCTTATATAATAAAAGAGCGCTATCTCATTTAATAAAAGAGCTCTACTCTTTGTAAATTCAATCTAATCTAAATATTTTGATTTAGAATTTAAATCATCAAAAGCAACTTGTATTACTAAAATAATCGTAAAATTCTTACCAATAAAATGACTTGATTTATTGGATAATTAAAGTAACACACAGCATGACACCATTTAGGGATTTATTCGGATACATTTAGCCGCGGCATTGTAAATCAAGTTGAAGACAGCCGACTGGTCGGCAGTTAAACTAGAATAAATATATCTTTCACCCAAGATCTGATTGATATGGAACAAAAGCAAGATGTTGCCTATTTTGCTTTTGTTCAATATCAATTACATCTTTTAAGTACACACGACAGGATATCTAGCTAAACACTGTGGTATCTTATATTGTTGTATTAGGGGCGAATTTGCAACAGAAATGCAGTCTGGTGATGTATGTTATGTCGACTGTATGCCTATTTTATCCAAAGACTAGCTGTGTCCGCGACTTCGTTCGCGTGAAAATAGTTTGAACAATATTTCCCGTTTTTGCAACATTTTTCCTTACTGCTCCGCTCCTATTGGCTGTATGGTGGTGTTAATAGCCTAAAGCCTTCCTCGATAAACAGCCTATTCAACACCATATTTTTTCAAATCGGACCAGTAGTGACCTAAGATTAGCGCGTTCAGTCAAACAAAGTCTTCAGCATTATAATATTAAGTATAGACTATGGTATAGATGTGTTATATTATGTAACGACAACGACATTAATCTATGCTTGTATTGTTCCAGTGGGTGTGGTCGGAGGCGGCATGCCGGAGGCCGGTGGCGAAAGGCGGCACGTTCCCCTCTACGGGAGACTGGTCGCCGAAGACCAACTGGCCTCGATGAGCGCCCCCTCAGACATTCAGGTGAGCTCCAACGAGCGCACCCAGCGGGCTTTCTGCCGCTACTGTACCCCTAAGGTAAATGATGCACGAGGCAGTTTACCGGGCGCGGTGACGTCACTAACTCTAACTCGGACGTAGGTGGTGCATTAGGCGTGTGCGGCTGTGATTCGTCAGATATCAATTTCGTAGGTTTGATTTGAAGACTACTAAAAACATGGACTTATCAAACTATAACTGTAGAAAGTAAAGCTTTTTGGTTAACAGATCTGTGAAGATAATGTAGCTAAAATATTATTATTGTATATCAAAGAAAGAGTCTTGGCCCTTGACAAGATATCCTTACAAATACAACATCACTGTTATATTTGTTAAAATATTTTATCTCGCAAAAATTTATTTCATTCGGTTAACTTATCGGTGGAGTCGTTCCTTATACCGATTCAGTACTATTATTAGATATCAAAATAGCTTCAATAGGCGAATCACAGTTGCCCATTTCACTAACTCCGAATACTAGGAATCCGTGTACATATTATTACAATTCCACCATCGAGAAGCCTTCCTTCTAAATAAAAAAAACTAACTGGTGGATAATGTTCTTCTTCAGCTCTGTCCTATTTACCCAAAAATCTAAATTATATTGTAAGATACTTTTGTGACATGAAAAAAGATGTTTGTAATTTTTTACGAAGTGGCAATACAGGGTTACAGCCATTTTCCGGCGTTGGCAACTTTACGACCGGTTACAATGTAGTGCATACTCGAAGTCAGCATTCATTACAGTCGGACAGACAGTTACAATGTGCTAGCTTACTGAATTAGGAAACTTTGATGGGAACACTTCAAAAGTGAATCAAACCCGGTGCGGACGTGTGTCTTGCTTCATTTATAACTCGAGGGAATAGTTTACACGTCCTTTACTTTGTTTAAAATTAAGAAATTAAAAAGGTCTTCAATTACTTTAGAATTTGTTCTGTCACCCCTGCTCACCGAAGTTCAGTATAAAATCCAGCATGAAAGCTTTAGTAACTTTACTAACGTAACGTTTAGAGTCCCAAAATTTTAATGAAAATAATATGTAACAAACCTGAAAGTTTTCAATCCTTACGTTAAGAGTTGCCTCGACTAGTAACGTGTGCGCCACACCTATTGTTTTATTAAAAGGGCCATTAACTACCCGCGTCTAGACATTACGGCAAGTAAATAAATTAGTCCGTAAACTGTCACTAATTAAACACTCACTGGAACTAACTTCTCTTTCAGTGAGATCTAAATGTACCGACGGCCCTTTTCTGTGACATGGGACTTGTTTACCTTTGGAACGGGGTTAGAACCTATTTATTGATCACTTTGCTTGTGGCTTTGACCGTTTACGTGTCTTTTGATACAAAACAAATTAAAATATTTATGTTTAATAAGTTTCTCACAACTTGTACGTAATTATATTTTACACGTCTTTTACTCGTAAATTGTAAAACAATATGTTTTTGTTTGTAGCTAGACATTTCTTATGACATCAAAATCCTCAATTTTTCAGTACTTATTTACCATGAGGTGAGATTGAGATCAAACCCATAGTCAGTTCCAAGTAAAGAAAAAAAGTTTTTTCAAGGCATATTCAATTTTGATCGTGGCAACACTCAAATTTCTCACGAAAAATAAACTGTTTATCTCTCATTTGTATCAATAGAAACATTGTTAGACTTTAGTAATGCTGTAGGTGCGGGTGCGATTGTGTCAGCCAGTAGTACTTAGTGCAGACATACGGTTAAGGCGATTAGAGTCCTCAATGACCTTGAGCGTTTGACCTTCACGCTTCGCACAACACCCGCGCACCCCGCACGAAAACTCCGATTTGACACCGATCAAAATTACACGGGCATATGTAGGTACAGAATAGAAGCTCTTTCTTCATACGTTACTGCCTATTATTTTAAACTTGAATTGATGAACCTTGATGTCGATGTCATTCAACACAGGCGCAAGTGATGGCCCGAAATGTTCTAAACTAGCGCACCGTATAGTAAGGTATTTATATTTAACAAAAATTACAAATCATTTCAAACCGTACAGATACTCTACGCAAGATCTTTACAAACTTAGTGATGTTCTCTCGGTAAGACAAATCTACTTTTTAAACACTATCCTGAAACTTCATAAATCCTTGCCTTACGATGCCCATAAAGTCGCCCGAAGACGTAATTATAGCGTAGCTATTGCTCCTGCTGTAAGAACGGCTTACGCAAAAAGGCAATATATGTCACGGTCTGCCATATTATACAATAAAATAAATAAAATTTTGAATATCTACCCAAAGAATATATGCACGTGCAAAGAGACCATCACTTTATTCCTTAAATCCTGTAGCTATGTGGAAACTGAGGCATTTCTAGAAGAAGTAAATTAACTAAATCACCCACCCTCGAACACACACGCACACACTCACACACAAACACACTCTCACACACACACACACACACACACACACACACACACACACACACACACACACACACACACACCACACGTTTGCTCTTACAAACTCACTCTTGCACCCTGGAATTTTGAACATTAATTTATATTGTGTAACAATACCTGAAACAAATTACTTTTTATTTTTTTATATTTAAATTGATTTAATTAATTATTTTTTACATTATTTTATTTAATTTAATAAAAATAGGCTGAAAAATAATATATGTATATCTTAAGTCATAATTATTATTTATATTGTCAATTAATGTTAAATTAATATGGAGAGCGGGGATATTCTACCACAAGTATTTATTTACTTAAAAGAATTCCTCGATCGCAATATAGAAATGTAAAAACACCTGGTTATTAATAAAGAAATTTGAATTTGAAATTTGAATTTGAATTTGTGTAAACTATGAATTAGTTAGACCCATTTCCTGACGACAACCGATTGAGTTAAAATTTCGGATACACATGCAATTCGGATGACAATGCAATATTATGATGACATGGAGCTGATCTGATGATAGAGCTGGAAAGTCAGTGACCCCATAGGAACTCCGGAATAAAACGACTCCATCGAGTTGAGACTCGTTTGATTTGTATTTATTTATTTACATTAGGGTACTAATTATGTAAAGTTACGATAAACTACTTTACAAATCACGAGTACCTACTTCAATTCTATATGTAAACAGGGTCTGATGATGGAGCTGGAATGTGGCCATAAGAATTCTTCGAATTATTACGAGCTACATTAGAGAAAAACGATGCTACTACGCCGTAGTAAATTCCGCATCATAAATACTAAAATGCTTAAATTAAAATTAAAAGAAAAACATTCTTTAAAAAACAAGGTTTTGTATGCTCTAAAAAGAATAGAATAAAAAATAAAGATTCTATCATTACTCAATTTATATGACTAAAAGCTCGTCGCGAGATTTACTTGTGTAAACAAAAATACATTCATAACGTAACTTAATTTTAAAGTAAATCTAAAAAAAACACGGATAGGTAAATAATAGGTACATCTACAAGAACTTACCTAAATCTCGTAACAAGCTTTTAGTCAGATAAATTGCGTAAGGACAGAATCTAGGTATATAATAGAAAAAGACACGTTCCAAATTAGTGAAGGAATGTTAGATAGATACTTACATCACTGCATTCATTTTCAAAGCTCTCATGGCCGCATATTTCATCGAACCATTTTTTCGAGGCATTTTCATAAACTCAATCAGATGTCGTTATTTATGTCGGTATATGCGCGAAATAAAGACTTTGAATTACGTATTATTGCATACTTATAATCTTTTATCTGAGCTTTTATCTCAAGAATAAAATTGTCATTTTGACAAAATATTTCCCATACGGAGACTGTCAATAGGCCAATTTTATTCTCCATTTAAAAGTTTCGATGCATTCAAAAATCATAAAATAACTATAAAAATAAGGTTCATAGTAACCAACGAAAAAACAGATCAGGTTCCTAAGTCAACGCGCATATATTTTTTGGGTTCCGAACCTCAAAAGGAAACAACTAATTATTTAACCCTTAAAGGATTACTCTGTTATTCGTCCGTCTGTCTGTCAAGACCCTTTTTTTCATATGTATAGATAACAGCACTTAACATAAAAAATATGGTCTCAATGTCGACTTTCAGTAGCAACAACAGGGTCAACAACAACAAAAGCATGAAATAAATTAATGTTCACTAAAAATTAAAACCAACTCCAAAACATATTACCAAACCGTAGGCTGCCAGTGCTGCCACCGAAATATAAATCATGGTATAAATTTGACCTAGTAAATAAATAACGGAATATATTTTCTACTTTTACTTATCTAGTGCAGTTTGTTTTGGAGTCGATTTTTTTACACTAATAGATTCTATTTAGGTAGATAATAGCGTCCAAGCATGCCTTAATTCAATCGTATCGTCTGACTGAACGTACTCTATGAACAACTCTGACATAAAATATATTGTCAAACAAAGGCTGGGTTGCACCATCTTATTTTAAATTTGACAAAAGTCAAATATCTGTCAAACTCCATACAAAAAAAACCGGTTATCGCCAAAGCTACGGTCAAAGTTAGGTCACGTCAGGTGGTGCAACTCAGCCAAAGAAAAAATTCATTTTGATCGCTAATGTCAGTTTGCAGCGAGTAACACAACCTCTCCGTCTGAAGGCCAGCGGCCGACTGCCGCCCGCACCCCGCGAAGGCCCCCTCAACAGCAAAACGTTCGGAATTTATCAAATGTAAAATTTATGAATGAAAGTAATGTTCGATTGAAAAACGCAACGTGTCATTTAAAGATTAAAGAATTCTTAATCTATTTGTGCAAAAATCTTTAAAATTAACATAGCCGTTTGGGAGGAGTAGGGAATTGAAGTAAAAAATCGATGTCCCGTATTTATTTTTTTAATCCACAACAAAGAGACGTAGGAAAAATTCAAACGTGTCAAATGTAGTCCTTGAACTGTTGTATAACATATATTTTTTTCAACTATTTCTGTCTAGCAGTAAAAGAGGAGTAGGCTTTACAAAATGACCATTTCACGCGGATTGAGGACACTAATCGCCTTAACACCGTTGATTGCCTCAGGCGAGTAGGGTTGTATCTTTTATGAGGTATATTTTAATCCTGTGAACTACAGAATAAACAATATTGTATTTTTATGGCAAAAAATCATTGCTAAGAGAAAGATAATTTGGCGATTTGTTTTCCGCTTCAAAATTTTGACGTATATTTTCATAATGTACGTAATAGATGTCAACCCTACGTATTACAAACTTACCAGGGGGCTACTCCGTAAGGTGATGCCTGTATTTTGAACTCTACCTTTCTCCCTCACCTATCCTAAGAAGTTTGTGCAAGAGCGACGACAAAAGACTCGAAAATTTTGCAATCCCTAATACAAACTGTCTCGTGTCTCAAAGTACCGCACACTTGCTTTCCTTTGATGTACTACATCTTGAACTTAAGTTTTGCTTTAGTCCGTTAAGTCTGTTTGTAGTTTAGATTGATTTATTGTTTATATTTTGAGATCCCGCATGAATCATTCACTCGTCTTGTTTTAAAGTTCCATATTTTATTGGAATTTCCAGTTTGGGTATAATTTATGTAATGTTTGGGTGTAGGAATTGTGTAAATATATTTTAGTGTTTATCACACGCTTAAAAACTTTGCTTATATGTTTCCAACATGAGTACTTATTTCGAAAACTAACGATATTTTCTCACTTGCCCAGGCGATGCAAGCTCGAATACCACATCACTTTCGGGACCCCTCCACGGCGCCGCTTAGAAAACTCAGCGTAGACCTCATTAAGACCTATAAACACATAAACGAGGTAAGTCCATTCACAATATATGTATTTTAATTTATTACCTATTGAAAACACCACCACGTAAGTCACACTTCGTGTTGCAGCTCGGCCGGCAACGGATAACAATCGATCATATCGAATAACACCCGATTGTTCGATAAATCCGGAATTAACCGGTGTCATCTGCGGTTATTAATTTACTTCATATGCAACTGCCATTGTCGATTTTCGCTCGCAGCGATTAACCTTCCTATACCCGCGCGTTGGTCTCTCAGACCGACGAACTAATAATTCGGAGTTTTTTCAAAAGGTATTAACTCTATGACTTTGCGGTTTTTAGTAGCTTCATGATTTGTGGCCTGCCATTGTTTAGTGTTGTTCGATCGCTGCTGCCAAGTGTACGTGTGTCACTTTTTACTGTTATTCGGTCTGTGAGACCGACGCGGGTATACGTGTTTCTACTTCAGGTATGTTACTATTGTTTTATTTTAAAATATTACTCAATAAAATGTATTGTCATATTTTAGTGGCGTTTCATATCAATTAAGTATTACTGTATTTTATTATTATTAATTTGTTTTAGCCATTTTTGTCGTCATAATGAACGAAGAAAGGATAAGGGCGCTGTTAGAATGTGAAGATTTGGACTCCAACTATGATAACCAGAGTGACAGTGATGAGGTGGTGGATGATTTAGAAGTGCAGGAGAACAACACCGATTCTGAGCAGAAGGGTGATTTGTCAGATGCAAAAAGTATTTTTGTCACTATACGAGCATGCAGTTATGGTATGTTCCGGTTATTATTCCGCTGAAACCACTAGCTATTAATACTGTTTTGTTCTTTTATATTACTAAGGATACTTCCATTTATTATATTTTATAGTAATTTTTTAGGCTTCAAAAGAAAAAAAGTCTATTTTTGTTATTAAATTTAGGCTGATGTAAAATTTTGTTTAAATTTTAAGTCCGATTTAAAGGCTGATTAAATCAAAATATCTATAAATAAAAAATTTGTTTTAATTTTTTTATGCAATTATAACCTTAACGTATAATTTAAAGCAAATTATAGTACAATACAGTACACAATTATACTATAAAACACGAGCTCAACTTTCGGTCTGAGAGACCGTGCGCGGGTATATGTGTAATGCTTTTTGGCGCGGGTATACGAAGGTTAAACTACAAGTACAATACTTTTGTAATTATTGTTTACATGTCCCATGCGGATAAATCGGTCGTACGTAACGTTTTTTAATGCTGTGGATTTTCCGCCGCGTGTCGGTATATTAGGTCGCGTTTAAAAACAGCACTTTGCAATATCCGCACATTATAAGCGATGATGGTGGGTGTACAATGGTGCCCACATCGACCTTTTTCGATAACCGTGGGTGCCCGTTGCTAGGAGGCGGCCGGCCGCGTGGGAGAAAATTTATGGCATCGTAAATAAAAAACTTCTCAATGAACCAGCGAATGCACTACTCAATGAAACGTGTGACCGTGTTAATCTCGTTTCATATTAATATTCGACCCACATTATTATGTACAGTCAGCAGCGTAATTGCAACATACCGTCTATTAAAACCGAATAAGATGTTACAATGTTGTCAGTACATTCCACTGAAAAGTCGAACTCGTATCGCATAACGCTTCTAGTCGCTCTCAGTCGGCGGCCACTTTGTAAACGGACCGTATTAAATGTTATTAGCTGTTTTATAATGTTTTCGGAATTTAAATAAACACGTAAAATTTTGCTGTAACTGGACGTTGAGGAATTCGAAAACATTTGCCGACATGAAAAACAAGCAATTCGTTATTTGCTTGAAGGAAATTACGACAGCTAAAGAAAACAAGTGGCAGGATTACGTTGAAATTGACAGCAGCTGTATTTTATAGCTGTAGGAGTTGCCTTTTATCTTTTATATTAAATCTGTAATGAAATATACTTTCTAAGAAACACTACGGGAATAATGCTTTAGACATATTCCCTGAATTGTTTGCGCCAAAAAACTAGATTAGCTTGAAGAAAGAAAAACATTGTGTTGCGAGACCACAATGGTTTTTACTTGAAATTCATATGCAAACCAATTTAGAAAAGATCAACCTGACTAGTAATCGAACCCTGTCGAGACATAAAGCTCAAGGCTGCCGACCGCGCCACTGCGCCATGAAGCCGTCTCCACTAAAACAATAAACCACTTAACAACGTACATTTCCATGAAATGCCCTTGGAAAAATTCGCGAAAGAAAGAATACAAGTGGAAATAGAACATTACGTTTGTTTCAACCTTCCAGCATTGTTGGTCCGACCTTTGGTCACGTGGGGCAATTTTCATTGACGTGTCGACGCCGGCGCCAGTAATCACAATTTCCAAGTACAAACGGCACATCAAGCTTACAATGTGGTATCTTATGCCGTTCCAATAAGCGCGGTTTTTCAACAAAAATGGTAAGTCTAATGTGCTGGCTGAACAGTCGACAGCGCATCAGACTATTATTGCTGCAAAATAGGTGCTATTACAACTTTATAAGATTCTTTGGTGGTTTTCATGAGGTGCTGTTGCTCGTTCTAGAAAAATGACGTCACTAGAAATTACATGGAAATCATTATGTCATAATACTGGCTAGAAGACGAATGGCCCTGATTCCGTGACCTTTAGAAACATTAGGCGATACTGTCTCTTTCCCGAACTAAGTAATGAAAAGGACAGGCCACTGTCAACACGATTGATGTTTTCATCCAACCGGCATTAATTAATTATGCTAATAAGGCAACTCGCTAAGTTTGACTGTAACGTAGTCTTGTCCTTTTTCATTTTCTTTAGAAAGACAGAGCTGATGTTATATAGGTTGTGAATGTCAGGCAATTGAACTCATTATATTCACTATCGCACGGGTCAAAGTTGTTCAAAGGTATGTGTGAACAATCGAGATCTTTCGCGAACTCCAGTAGTGCGTCATAGACGATCATAGACTCATAGTGGACGCGTCATCTAACTATGACGATGATACTGCTGGAAGCGTTACGTAAAATGTGCTACGGCATTTGTTGGTGTCGAGTCAATATTCCAATGCTACCTTTCGGTCGAAGTCTACGATGTAGAGTAGTTTTCATTACAAATATGACGACACAGTTATTTCTATTATGGATATTAAAAAAAAAGAAAAATCGTTACTACGACTTCACTCAGTACTATCGTCCCATGTTGTAACTTATCGTTTTTCTAAGAAACACGTTTAAGCAATTATTACGCTGCTAAAAACTGAAAAAAATATGGCTGAACGAACTATTTTCGGTATGATCCAAACTCGAAAATACGAAAAATATTTGTGGTGAGCTCAATACGCGTCAAGTTAATTGCCGGTTCGCAAGTATCTTTTAGATTTTCTAATAGAGACCTTTCATTTTTTTCGGTCTATTATACGAAAATAATATAGTTTGCTTGTCCATATTATAAAAATAGCCGTTTGTTTGTGTTGACAATTAAAGTAGTTTAAGTGCGGGCGACCTTAGTCACGTGGGCAGTTTTCACTGGTGTGCGCCGCTCGGCTATCGCGTCACACTTTCCTACACGCGCTGCGAGAAAACGCGGAAAACCGCGCGAGATGTGTATGTTTACGGTCAACAACTTCGCCGCTATGCCACAATATACGGGGTGTCAGGCAATAATAGTAATTCACAAATTCTTAATATAAAATAAATTTTAATCGTTATTAAAATTTCTTAGCGATTAGAGTCGCTTTCATCCATTCAGGTTCATCCAGTGTCTAAGTAGCTCAGTTGGAAGAGCAGTCGCTCGGCAAGCGAAAGGTCGTGGGTTCGATTCCCGCCTTAGGTAGTTCAATTTTTTCAAGTTGTTTATTTAAAAATACATTTTAAATAATGTTATTTTTTTCCGAGTTTTCATCCATTTTACATAATGATTTGGCATTTCTGCAATTAGGAATGCAGTAAATTTTATCAGCCTAAAAGAAATATCGTAAACAATACTAAACTAAATGCAAATTGAGTTAATATCAAATATCACTGCTAGAGACTATTTTGTCTGTTTCATTTCAGTAATTTCTGATTTTCCAGGTCGGTCATCCCGGCATTTTCACGTTATCTGAATATCTGACCGTTCTACGTTTTCTTTTTTTACTCCTGAATATCAAATTGTAAATAAACATTTCATATTTCACAAACAATAATAACTCCGTCTAAATATACTAACGTAATACATTTTTCCCGCGCCCTAAAAATATTAACCGCCTCATTTTTGGCGTCACAAATTCTCTTCCATTACCTCTAATAACGCTTTTTTTAGACCACTCTATTTTTATGTAAACGACACAACAAAGCAATTGCATTTTATGTTTGTTTTTATTACGTCATAATATTTATCTAATGAAGGTAATGTTGATAGTGTTTCATATTGAAAACATCAAAGAGTATTATAGAATGTTATTCCAGCTTCTAAAATACTTCTCTTTGTGGGGTAATTAATTTGAAAGACACGTGGAGCCTCCGTCCCCTCCACAACTCCACATGCGTTTAAAATTAAACTGTTTATTATTAGAATATTATCTAAGTGCTATTTGCGTTTCGTTCGTGGTCGTTGCCCTATTTGGTGGTATGTTTACATGGCTTTCTGCCAGCCAAGTGAGCTATGACGTGTGAGGTGAGCGCGTGAAGTGGGAGAGAAATAATGACTTGCAATAGTTGCAAGTATCTACATAAATTCAACTTGCAACTTTTTACAAACACGCCCTGTATCCTTTTTCTGAGAACGACTACAACAATAAGATTGCCAGACGGAAGGTTATTCCAAGTAATATTTCTTATTCATGGAGCTTTAACGAGATAAACTATTTTTAGCGGATTCTGAATACTGATGTTTGCTTTGTTCGTTGGATCCGAGATTTATAATAAAAACATAATATTATTATTACGTGGCCATGCTTATTTTGATTTGAATAAACGAAAAAATTTGTAGAAATTTCTAAAAATATCCGTAATTTTCTTCACGCATTAGTAGTATTCCAT